CTGGGGTTGATGCTTTCAAAGAGAAGCTGGTAGGGGAAAGATACCCCAATCTGCTGCTTCCCGAAATAGCAGCTTTACCCTGTTCCAGCCACTATCCCCATGCAAGCTTGTGCTGAGTCTTGATATCAAAGATTTACTGAAGACATGAGACAGTTCTCATTATGCAAGAAAGCATATCCTTACTTTTCTCAACTGTGAAGTTCAATTAATGTTTTATTATGTGAAGTCAAACAGCCGCCCACTTCTTAAACTTCCAGCTTTAAACTGGTAGCAGTATTGTCAGTCAGCTTTGATGCCTGCTTATCTCTAGCAGAGAGACTGAACAAAGAAGGCGGCAGCTTTGCATTGGTTATGTAATTGTGGAGTTCACAGTCTCTGTGTCCTTTTCAAGGTCTTGGGGACTGTCCGATCTGACATTTCCCAACCCAGATATCTGAGCGCAGCTGTTTAAAGACTGTAGCTTGTACCTCTTTTCGTTTTTCTCTTCCTAGAAAACTGCATGAGTCTCTCCCTCTGTGTCTCTCTCTTACCCCCCTCCCTCCTCCTCTCCCCACTGTCACCTCTATTTGTGTATTTGTAAGGCAGGGTTTGATGCTGAGTATGTTCCTCAGTCACTTCTCTATCTTATTTTTGAAGTAAGTTCTCTCACTGAACTGGAAGCTCCTTGATCGTCTGGCCTACAACCCCCAGGGGTCTACCTGTTTAACCCCTGCCTCACCACTGCTGCTACAGTTGTATGCTACCATGCCCAGCTTTTATGTGGATGCTGGGGAACCAAACTTAGGTCCCCATGCTTGCATAGCAAGTATTTTACCCACTGAATCTTCTCCCAGCCCTATGTGAGTTTTCAATGGGTTTGATCTTTCACCAGAAGGATTTATTAGGCTCATAGATATGGAAGGCGGGTGGGGGGTTCCTTGTGACCCAGCCAGGAGGAATTGACTTTCCAGTCCAACACTCATTAATTATAAAGGTTCCCAATACATGGGTGGTTCTGACTTCACTAGTCAAATAGAGATAACAAAAAAAGTAAAGTATTTCTGCCCCTCCTTCAGGGAGAATCAATTCATAATCAACAAGAAATTGAAGTTGGGTGGTAGCACATGCCTTTAATCCCAACACTCAGGAGGATGAGGCAGGTGGATCTATGTGAGTTTGAGGCCAGCCTGGTCTAAAGAGTGAGGACAAATTCCAAAGCTACACAGAGAAACCCTGTCTCGAAAAACAAACAAACAAACAAAGGAAAACCCCAATGGAAGTCCCAATTAAAACATATTATTACCTTTTAAAAAATTCTCTGAGATTTCCATACAATAACTTTGACCATACTCACCTCCCACTCCCTCCCTAAGCTCCTTCCAGATTTACTATAGTTGACTATTTGGAGGGGGGGCAGGCCCTGGTCAGAACCAGGGTATGTAAAAAAATCCACTGATATGGAGAGGACTACACTTTTCTACCCAAGGGGAAGATGTAAGGAAACACAGACGCTGTCTGTTGGCAACTTTATCTTGAAAAATGCAGCTTTTCTCGCATTAGCTCTGTCTCCTTCTCTTTGGCCCCCCTTTGCTGCTGTCTTTCTTCCCCTGCATCGCCACCGCTGCTGTCTGCTGCCTCCCCACATCGCCCCTGCCGCCCCTGCCGCCCCTGCCGCCCCTGCCGCCCCTGCCTCACTGTCTTCTCCACTGCTTCTCCTCTGCTGCTGTCTCACAGCCAAACTCTGGACAAGTAAGTTATATTTTTAAGGGCTTAGCCCTTTCTCAAAACCCAACATAAGTCACGTGGTTTCTCTTAGGCGAGGAATATCACAGTGACTGGTCAGCGAGCAACCATGGCCTTGCACATAGCTCTAAGTTGGGGAGGTTCCCAGACAGAAGGTGGCACTGGAAATCAAGGCTTAACTCCAACAGTTAATTAGCTGGACCTTGAGGTTTAGGAGTATGTGCAGACTGAAGTTGCCTTAAGCTTTGGCCTTGAATCAGCAGAACAACACCTGGAAAAATGACCTACTGTGCTTGTCTCTAGGGGCAACCAGACATTGTCTCCAGGGGCAAACCAGCCTGCTTTGAATTTGCTCTGAAGTCGAAAGTTAGCTTGTCTGTGTAAAAGGCTGTCTTTGTGACTGAGAATCCTATGTCAGTCTGAGCAATGTAAAATATCCTACTGTTATTTCTATTCATCAAAATTATGCAGCCTAAGCATCATCTTTTTGACTGTCCACAGCTGTATGTGTGCCCAAGGAGTATAAGATACACCACCAAAGGGCTGTGGGAAGACCATCAGAGTTGTTCTTATTAGGGAGGCGGAGCAGTGGTACCTGAGAAAGTTACAGGAACAACCAGTCATCCAGTCAATAACCCCACAGCTTTGCCAAGTGGGGGTCCCCAATAATGCCTGGTGAGTCAGCTTTGCCAAGTAGGACTGCCAACAATGTCTAGTGGGTCAACTTGTTAAACACTAGTTATCATTGCTGTATAGTTTCATGGCCCTCTGCAATTTACCCCACACACCCCCAAATTCATGTCTCTTTAAAAAATCCAATAACTCTATTAACTATAATTTGTGCAGTCCATACACTGGTCATTGTCCCACCCACTGGAGGGTGGTCAACCTATCAGGGGGCACACCCTTAAAGAAAACTGGCTTTTCCCCCCCAGAAGCTCTCTGGCTTCCAGTTGGGTCACAGGGAACAAACAGCCTGGGAGGATCGCTGGAGCTGGAACCTTCGGCGGCCACCTTCTTCTTGTGTAAGTGCATTCTCCCTGAATAAACTTCACTTAACCTGTACTGAGTCTAGTGAATCTTGATTCTCCGAAATAGTGGTTCCTCAGTTAGGAGTGGGGGGCTCGTGAGCGTCCCCCATGTGCTAACGTGTTGAATGGCTTGATCTTGTGCAGGTTGTCTGCAGGAGACCACAGCTGCTCTTAGTTCATGAGTGCAGGAGTCCTGTCAGCTCTAGAAGATACTGTTTCACTCTGGTGTTCCCTGACCTCTGGGCCTCCTTGACTTCCTCTCCTGTGATGGTCCCTGAACTTTATGGAGGTGCAGGATATAGATCTCCCATTTGTGGCTGGGCATACTTATTCTCTGCACTTGGACCAGTTGTAAGGTTCTGTGTTGACCACTATCCATTGCACTTAGCTTGTGAGGTTTGAGAACTGTTTAGGACTAGCCTAGGGGTAGGCAGCCACTGATGGAGCTTCTGGGAGAAGTGGAATTTTCCTCATACCCGTGGACTAACCTGGAGTCACATCTGGTCCCCAGCTTGGGTCTGCAACTTCCCCTGCAAGATGTCAGATGTCCTAATTTATTGAGCACTTACTGTATACCATGCTACCAAGGCTGGAGTATGAAATGTTTGAAAAAAGATAGATATGATCTCCCACAATATGGGTTTACTCGGATGGTCTGAAAGCATTAAGTTTTAAATGTGGCACAAACTCAAACTCTTGAGAATCTCAAGGTGGAGGGTGTTGTATAGTGCTATGAGAGACTTACGGAATCTGGTCTAGGTAGGGGGTCAGGGGAGGCCTCTTTGCTGTTGTAACAACTGAGCTAGAGTCTGAAGGAAAAAATGGAGCTGACTAGAGGACAGAAGGAATATTCCAGGCAGTGGGTGTGAGCTGTACAGGCAAAGAAGAGACATGGAATTACACAAAGGCCTGAAGAATGTTGGGAAGGAACTCTGTCACTGTTCTATGCCAGTACGATGAAATGTGTACACTGGGTACATAGTGAGGATAAAACAAGTGAACTTACATCCGGAAATTATATCAGAACATCTGCACCTACACATCAGAAATCCTCATCTACTCTTGGTCTCTTGAATGCATAACACCTTGAGCCAACTTGATTAACTTTGATATCCATAGATACACAAAGATTTTTGCAGATGTGACAGTCGAGTGAGGAACTTCTGGATTTAAAATGAGGAAAACAATAATTGGATGGGTTATATAACACCTGTTCTAATCTTCTGGAGGTTGGGTTCTCTTTCAGATAATGCAAAGAACACCTATTACTTACTGTTTAAGCCCCGCTCTGAGAGGCATCACTGGGAGCCTGTGGGGACTGCAGATGCTCAGTTCCCATGCCAGAGCTGTGGTCAGGCTCTGAGTGTATGAGGAGGAGGCACAGTGCCGTCTCTCCAATCTCTCTGATGCACCTGTGTGGTGAACTCAGCAGTGCTTGGAGTAGATGAATGTGATTTCTCTTTTACTGACAAGCAACTCTGAGAGTTGATTCATTTGGAGACTTAATGGTGGCAAAGTATAAATCTGATCCAAGGATCCAGGGTTTTCTGGATCCACTCACGTACCACAGCCTTCTCAGCTGAACTGGTGGAAAGACTTGAGGCAGGCATATGTTTTGTTAGGGGATGAAGATGTGAAGGCACCTTTGGAAAAGGTGGTTAAAAATTGTAAGTTACACCAAATAATAATACTCTGGTGATTGTCTTCTGCCTACATGGAGTGCTGGCTCTGGCTGGTAAAAATCTGTGTGAGTCAGTAGCATTATGAGATAGTAACAAAGGGAGGGAGGTGGGCAGTCACCATGATCAAGGCAAAATGCTGCTAGCTATCACAAACCAGGCGTTAGTCATGTGGTTAACTCCTAATCTAACCAGCGAAAGATGATCTGGAACTGTAGACTTCTACCTGAGCCCAAGTCAAGATGGGACACATTTACAGACTGTATTTAGCCTGACACAAAGTAAAAAGAATGTGTTAAAAGCAGAGGTTTTAGCTTCTAGCTTCCATTAACCCTGGAAAGCAAAGCAGGCAAACTGTCAGAGTGAAGAGTGTCTCAGGCTCATTCTCCGGATGCCGGCTTTGCATTGCTCCTAAGTTTTGAACAAAATGGTCACAGGTGCTATCAGCAGGACCCACAGACTCTGGAAAGAAACTTTGATCATAGTCCAGTTCTGTGGAGCACTGTAGTGAGAACTCAAGTTGAATAAGATTCCACAATATGCTACATTCATAATTCAGAATATAATATATTCATAATATTCTGTATTTATCCAGCAAGGTGAGGGGAGCTCAGACTGAAACATGGATGCATTCTGGGAGACCTGCTGAAGATAGAATCCATTTTTAGCTGGAGTTTGAATCACTTTGACTTAGAAGCCAGTAGTGCAGACTCATGACTTTGAGATCTTTGGTAGTCATTGCCAGAGAACCTGACTACTAAAGCCAACCAGAGGAGCCACTCAAGATACCTCCAGCTAGCGACTCTTAGCTTTTGCCATACATTGGAAATGCCTGGGAGAGATTTACGAAGCCTGGTTCCTAGGCTGCATCTTCATCCAGTTAAATCTGAATGTCTGGAAATCAGGGAGTTATTTTTAAATCATTCCAGAAGACTCCAGCAGGTTGATTCCAACTCCCACTAAACTCCAGGAGCCTGATTCTGGGGGAAATTATAGAAACAATTATAGAAATTTGAAGATGAGAGCTTTAAGAGAGTCAGACACTGACCCAGACCCACCCACCACTCCCTGGCTGGCATACCTTCCCTCAGCTGACGGAGCTCACTGCTGGCTTCCTACCACAGTGGACACAGTGGGATTTGGAGGGAAGAAGAGGTGCACGGGCAGCAGAACTCTGTGATTTTCATCCTACGATGTCCTTGTACCTCAAGGGTGACTCCAGGTTTCCATTTCACCATACATGTCCTGCCTTCACTTCCTGGGCTTTTCCAGGCTGTCTTAGTTAGGATTTCCATTGCTGTGAAGAGACAACCGTGACCATGACAACTTTTATAAAGGAAAAAAAAACATTTGATTGACTTACAATTCAGAGGTTTAGTCCATTATCTCATGGTGTCATATGGTGGTGTGCAGGAAGACATGATACTGGAGAAGGAGCTGAGAGTCCTGTATCTTGACTCACAGTACGTGGTCTGTCTCATTGGGTGTGACTTGAGCATACGTGAGACCTCAAAACCCACCTCCACAGTGACAGACTTCCTCCAGCAAGACCGTACCTCCTAATAGTGCCACTCCTTTTGGGGGCCATTTTCTTTCATATCATTACCTAGGCCCTCTAACAACCCTGTGCAATTTTATTTCATAGAATATACTGCAGTTTGTGGTGGTTTACTCCTGAGGTGGCTTGTATTAATTGAACCCTGTCATTAGTACCTTCCATCAGGACCTAGATTGTGTTAGCATTTTGCTTGTTACTATTAGTGCCCTTAGTGGGTAGGAGTATCTATCCTGGGTCAGAGTAAGTACATACAGTAGTCACTCAATAAATGTTTTGAATGCTTGAGAATAGGAAAAATAGTCTTCCCCAGGGAAGAGAACGCTGGTTGGTTATCCAATAACAGATAGTCAGCCCTGAAAATATACATTCAAGTAACATTAAACAGACTGAGCAGGCTGTAATGTGTATGTACACACACACACACACACACACACACACACACACACACACACACATATTTGAAAGAGAGAGAGAAAGACCCAGTCAGGACCTAATAAATCACAACCCTGGACTTGGGAATAGAGGGCTGATTAAACTAGCACCCAAGGCAATTCTGCTGATGCAAAGATTTTAGGAGTGTTGTGATAAAACTTGAGGAACTGGGAGATGATAACACATCTCACAGGCTTTGGGCATCGTTAACCAATGCTACCCTTGATCCTCCCTCCAGCTGACTCATGGCTTAACTCTCTTCCAAGGCCTCCCATGAGCCCCCATAAAAATCAAAGAGCTTGAAGGGAAACATTCAGACTTTGATCTTCAAGAATAGTCCTTCCATCACACTGTGGTTTGTGTCTTTGGATGAGGTGAGAGTGCCTGTGGGTACTACTGAGACTGATGGCTTCACTCGGCGCTCCATAGCAGGACGTTTGAGAACATCCCTTTTAAACAAGCAGGCTGCACTAGGCATTCAACACTGTGAACCTCATAAATCAGACACGGGAGTGTGGGATGGTTAGAAAGTTTGGTACCACCTTGTCTTGCTGTATGTGTGCCAGCTCCAGCCCTCGGCAACTCCCACGAGCTTTTAGTTCTTGCTCTCTGGGACTGCCAAGAATTCCTGAAGGACAGCGCAATGCCTTGCTACATTGACCTCAATGCTGGTCTGTGTCACCTCTTCACTTCTGACAAACTTTCCTTACTGGGAAATACCACTGTGGCCACTTTCACTTTCAGCTGTGGCCATGACACCTCTTTTAGAGGGCCAAGAGATCCAGTCTCTCACTTACCCTTCCTATAGTCATCTTCTAGCATCTCCATTTTCTTCTTTTCCTCTTGCTGCATTTTGTTTACATGTGATTGATTAGGACCCTATGAATGACAGGCATATTTCAGCCCATAACCCTGCTCTCAGAGTATAGTCAGGATGGAGACTGATCTGAGTTTGTGGTCCTGGGATTGCATTTGAGGCCTAGCAAATGGTAGGTAAGTGGTATTTGAACAAAAGAGCAAATGCACGGCAATGGTCAGCATTGATTATCAATATGATTGGACCGGGAGACATCTTAGCTGCAGATCACAAGGCCTCTAACCTAATGAATAGCTTAACCCATTGATAGATTTAAAACTTTTGCAGACTATTTGGAGGTGGTAGAATTGTGCAACTAAATGGAGCCTGGTTGGAGGACGTGATCTCCTGGTTGTGGCTTTTGGGACAAATCTTGTTTTTGACCCCATCTTGTCCCCTCTTCTGATTTCTGGCTACCACAAGGTATACTCATACTTGATATTTTGTCTTACCTCCACCTCGAAGGAATAGTGCAAGTGACCTCGAACTAAAATCTTTGAAACTATGACCCAAATAAAATTTTCTTCCTTTTAAATGGTTTCTTACAGGTATATATCACAGTGGTAAAAACAAACAAAATAAAAAACAAACAAAAAAAACCCAAACTAACATGTTTATAAATGATTATTCCACTGTAGTCTGTCTCATTAGCTATTTTCTATGGCCATGGAGAAGGCACAGTCATGGGATGTTGGGTATATAGATCTGTGGGGAGGCAGAGAGAGTATATCTATTTGTCTTAAAAATTCTTGAAGGTACTAACATTAGGTTATGGGAATAAAGTATATCTCACAAACAGACTTTTCTGTTTGTTGGAGTCTACCGTATCTCAGGAGCATCCCTTGTGGCATGGTGTGACCTCGTTCATCTCTCTTTAAAAACATCCAACTTTCTGCTCGAAGCTTTCAGTCATCCCAAAGTTAGGAAGTGCTCACACTTTGAGAAAAGTAAGACAGGAGAGAGTCCAGACATACCATAGGTTACTAAACACAAGATAGTCAAATCAATTGTACTCTTGTTATGAACCAGAATATTTGTCTACATTTTTATTTATTTTTCTCAATAACTCAGTAAGACCGTCATTGTCATTATTTTGATATGACAAAGGGGAAGCTGAAATAGACTTTCAGAGAAGCTTTGGTGGGAAGCAGGGGGTTTCCTGCAAACACTACAGCATGCTAGAATGTAAATGTAATGTTGCTATTATGTCTCTCATCCACACCCTGGGGTGTCCTAATTGTGCCACATTTAGGGGCAGGATTGCTTCTTTTAGTCTAGTATCAGAATATTAGTTTTAATTTGTATGTCCCTAATGATGTTAAACATCTTCCCGTGAGCCTATTTGCCAATTTATTTCCTCTTTAAAGAAATGTCTAAATTCTGTTTTAAGAAAAACAGAATTGTTGCCGGGCGTTGGTGGTGCATGCCTTTAATCCCAACACTCAGGAGGCAGAGGCAGGCGGATCTTTGTGAGTTCGAGGCCAGCCTGGTCTACAGAGAAGCCTCCAAAACAATACAGAGAAACCCTGTCTCAAAAAAACCAAAAAAAAAAAAGAAAGAAAAAATTGTTAACTTTTGAGGGTGCTTTGCATATTTTGGATTCCAATCTTTTTTGACATAGAGTTTCCTGGCATTATTTTGTGGAGTCACACAGTCTTATTTGACTCTTTCTGAACTGCTTCAGAGATCCATTCTGTTGATCTGTATCCCTATCCTTTTGTCAAAATATACTGTGTTGATTATTGCAACTTTCTTTTTTTTCATTTTTAATTCAAATTAGAAACAAGCTTGCTTCACATGTCAATCCCAGCTCCCTCTCCCTCCCCTCCTCCCCTGCCCCCCCAGCTTTCCCCCCAGCTTTCCCCCCAGCTCCCCTCCCAATCCCCATTCTGATCCCCAGGGAGGATAAGATACTCCATGGGGTATCTCCAGGATCCATCATTTATTTCATCCAGGGCAGGGTCTAGGCCCTCCCCCCTAGACTCCAGGCTGAGAGAGCATCCCTCATTGTGGGATGGGCATCCAAAGCCCATTTGTATGCTAGGGATAAATACCACCCAAGGTTCCATAGATTGCCTAGGCCTCCTCACTGACACCCACATTCAGGGGGTCTGGATCAGTCCCATGCTGTCCTCCCAGCCATCAGTCTGGGTCCAAGAGCTCCCCTTGTTCAGGTCAGCTATTTCTGTGGGTTAAACCAGCCCTTTGCTCATCAGTCCTCCCTTTTTTGTCACTGGAGATTATTGCAACTTTCTAGTAATTTTTTCTTTTAAATTTTTCAAGACAGGGTTTCTTTGTGTAGCTTTGTAGACCAGGATGGCCTCGAACTCAGAGATCCACCTGCCTCTCTGCCTCTTGTCTATGCCACCACTGCCTGGCTAATAATTCTTGATATTGGATGATACAATTATTCCAACTTTCTTTGTTCTTATCATTTTTCTTAGCTCTTCTACCTCTTGAACCTTTCTATATAAAATTTAACGTCTACTGGTGTGTATGTAGCTACAAACATCCTCTTGAGATGATTTTTACTTCTGGAATTCTGAGAAACAGCAGGGGATCTCCTGCAGTTTTAAACCTAGAAAATGTCAGTTCCGGGAGCTATTGGTAGATGTGCTGAAACCACAGAGGAGAGGATTCCTTGAAATATGCCTTTACCAAATGCAAAGGGCAGAGAAAAAGTGAGGAAGACTGTATTCTGGGATGATCATGGGAGCTTTGATCAAATGCTGAAGGAAAGCAGCTCATTCTCCTTGTCCAGTATCTTGAGGGCTGTACCAGTCACTTTGCTGTTGCTGTGACACCACACCATTACCACGAACAGCTTACAGAAGGAAGAGTCTATGTGGCATACTGTTGTAGAGGGTAAGGGTTCGGCATGGCGGGGAGCACAGCAGCAAGCCACCAGCATGGTGGTGGCAGAAGTGGGAAGCTGAGAGCCCACGGTCTCAAATGCTAACGCAAAGTCAAGAGAACAAATTAGAAGTAGGTCCAGAAGGCATCACCCCAGAGCCTGCGCCAGTGGCGTACTTCCTCCAGCAAGGCTGCCCCTCCTAAGTGTCCTCAGACAGAGTCATCAGCTAGGCACAAAGCACTGAGCCTGTGGGTTATACTTCTCATTCAAACCACCACAGACGCTTAGATCCCATTTACCGTTTACTAGTGTATCCTGTTTTCTTGCACTGACGTGGGAATATCCCTCACAATATTGGCCCTACTGCCCTTCACTTCCTCACATGTTAAAGAGGGCTAATTTGTTATCTATATTTCCCCCTTAAATGTCCTGCCTTGTATCTGCTCCCATCAGCTGAGGGAGGAAGCTTGTATGATGACTAGGTACTGATTGGGCTAGGTACTGATACTATGAGTATAATGGAATATCTTTAGGAATCTTTTAATTGACTTCTACACTAGGCAGAGCTCAGGGAACTCCAAAGAAGAGGGGGGAAAGGATTGTAGGAGCTAGAGAGTTTGAGGACACTAGAACATGGCCAACCAAGAAGGGTTTACAGGGGCTCGTGGAGACTGAAACGGTAGCCACGGAGCCTGCACGGTCTGCATACATGCTGTGGTTCTTCAGCTTGGGGCTTTTGTTAGACTCCTAACAGCGGAAGAGGGGGTGGTGTCTTTGATTATTTTGCCAGCATGTGGGACCTATTTCCTCCTGCTAGGTTGCCTTGTCCAGCCTTGATATGAAGGCATAGTCCTAGTATTATTACATCTTATGCCAAGTTTGATCGATGTCACTGGAAGGCCTGCTCTTTTCTGAAGGGAAACAGAGGAGCAGTGGATCTAGGGAAGAGGCAAGGTGTGGGGGTGTTGGGAGGAGGGGGGAAGGCTGTAGTGGGGATATATTGTATGAAAGAAGAAAAAATAAATGTTTTACTTTTACTTTCTTTCTCCCGATGGATCTATAAAACCTTGTCCATCTACCTACTGAATGTGAAGAAATGGCAATAAATCTAGAATTTTCTGGAAACCTTACTATTATTGACAGAAGTTAGATGTAGTCAACTGTTGATGGCTAACAGTGCATCTCACCTGTTATTCAACTGTTTCTGATGGAATTTGGGCTGTAATGAAATAGAAGGTGGGGAAATGTCAAAACAGAGATGAACATATATAGCTGCAAGATAGTCTGTAAACTTCCCAGAGATGTTTGTAACCTCTCTCTTGAGGAAGTTAGGCTCATGGCATCACTACAGTTCCTTTAACTTCTGTAAAAACTGGCTGCTATCCCTCATCTGTGTGTTTTTATAGAGCTTAAGGAAACATTGGATCCTCCCAGGTAGGGGTGACCCAACAAAATGCTTAAAGTGACTCAATGGGTCAGTGGAAGAACTGGGATTTGAACCTAGAGCTGCTTGATTCTAAAGCCTTTCAGTCCAATTCAAGGCTGTTTGACACTTGAAACACTCAGAGGCGTCTAAACGACATACCTTCTTCAAGACAGCCCTGCTGTCCCGCTCTCTCCTTCTCTGTGACAGATAGAGATAGTTGTGCCAACATCATAAAGACTGCAGCACCCTCCATAGTGGCTCCTGAGACTGTAGAAATTTAAACCTGGCTGGATAGTCTCTGCTAGTTCATCAAATGAGAGGTGGAATCTGATTCTCATGCCCCATTCATCCGGGTTGAGCATTAGTCTCAATCAGGAAATGTCTTTTTGAAAAGCAGACACAAGAAGTGATTTTTTAAAAAAAGGCTTTTCTGATTTTGGAGTCTGTGATTGCAGAGTCCTGACCCACATAAGCTTGATGCACTCTCCTCTTGTGTACCCTACTATGGGTAAAAGACTCTGGTTTAGATATAAAAAGAATAGGAACAAAACTCCTTAGAAATGATACTACAAATCTCAACTCAGAAAAATTGACCAGTAAAACCAAGTAGTCCATCTCAGAAAGCTAATACATTATTAATTTGAAATAGTCATATATACACCTATATGTATAGTTATACATGAAGTATTTTTGGAAATTGTATTCCCAGAGTTGCTAAAAATGAAATGTTTGGCCCATAAGCCATCCATTTAGGGACAGCTTTGTAACCCAGCACTGTCTACAGGGATTTTTCTTACGGGCTTTCTCTACACAGTTTTTTAAGGGTCCTCAGAAAAAGTTGGTATTTGAAATGAATTTTGAATTGTAGCTATGGAAAATAGGGGCAATTACCATGGAAAACAGGATTACATACAAGCTAATTTTTGGCTGTGGCAACTAATTTGAGTAAGTCTATGTGTGTTTTCAACTTTTTTTTAGGAATTAAGAAGATTTTTAAATTAAGATTTTATTTTGATTTCTGATTATAAATATCAACCCATCATGGTATAAAGTTGAGATATGTAAGAAGGAATAAAATATAAGTGAGTCATATTTCTACCACTCAGATATGGTCACTGTTAATATCTTATAGTTTTATTCTGCTGAATAAAATGATTTTAAAAGGTTGGGTAATTTTTCATATTTGCATGTGTTTGTAGGTATACACATGCATATATACACACAGACAAAAAAGAGATGAGGAAGGAGAGAGAGAGGAGAGAGAGTTAGTTTTACATCCAAAGAGCAGAATTTCCTAAAACTAATTAAACCTTTGCCTTATTTCTTATGTACCACAACAAATGAGAAAATTAAATTCTGTCTAATACATCTTCCAGTCAGAGTTATTTTTAAACTACAAAGAAACATGCAGAATTGGACAATAACAGTGATAAATAGGCAAGTCAACCTTTAGATCTTTAGGCCTTCACATATGAAAGTCTAAAAACTGGTCAAGGATTATAGGTCTTTCTTAAGACCATACAATTATTTCTTCCATGGAAGAAATTAAAAATTGTCTGAGGGGCTGGAGGGACAGCTCAGTGGTCAGGAGTGCACGCTGCCCTTATAGAGGACTTCAGTTCAACTGCATCGAGATTGGATGATGGCTCACAGCCACCAGTAAATCCAGCTCTTTGGAAATCCAGTGCCCTCTTTTGGCCTCGGTGGGCAACTGCACTCACATGCACATACCTCCCACAAACACATAATGAAAAACTACAAAGAGATCTTTGAAAATCAGAAAAATAGCTTGAGAACAATGATTAACATACTTCAAATAATCTAAGTAGTAGAAAACATGTTTAGGTTCTAAGAGGTGTGGCTTTAACAGCCACAAGTATTTCAAAGGTTTTCAGAGAAACATGGGCATTTGAGATGAATCTTGGGTTGTAAATAAGAAAGAAAAGGGGAGGATTTTGTTTCCTTTCTAGCTGCAGCATGGAACACTTGGAAGCAGGAATAAATCTGATGTAACACAAAAGGTAAGCCTGTGATTCAGGTAGTCTTGGGCCTCAGTCTGTCCTTGCTTGGAGTTGGTTAGTGGCTTTGGCAAGTCTCAAAGGCTTGTTCCAGGCAGTAACTTTGTGAATCACATTCTTACAAGATAATATTGACAATTCCTGTTACAAAGGTATCAGTGACCCATTAAGTATATTTGTTTTTTTTATTACCCGAGTGAAATAATTTTCAAGAGCTTCCCTGATTAATGCCTTTTATTATCTTGGCCAGAACAGGGTCTGGTGACAGGTGCCAATCCTGGAAAGGGGAATGGATGAATACAGTTGCATAGAGCAACCATGATGTAAGCTCCAGGCATATACAGAGGTTATGAGCTTTGGAAAGAAGTATTTTCTCCATACAAACCCAGAAGCCATTTGTCATTATTTGGGTTTGGTCATAATTACTCATGGGCTTTTCCTACTGCCCAGGAAGTCATACCTATGACTGACATGTCACTTTGAAGCTGAGATGAAAGGGGAATGAGAACATTATCTTCAGCCCATTGTTCACTCTTGGGTATAAAGAAAGGGTGTCTAAGGCTCATGAAAACCCTGAATGAGGGCATTTCCTGCCCATTGTTCATATTCAAATAAAATAAACTGATTTTTCAATCATAAGAAAATTCTTGAGAATCACAAATGGTAGAAATGTTTAGTAAGTCACAAAATTACATGAGCAGCCCCAAGGGAGACCTATCAGTATGTCCATCACCATAGAAAGGCTCCTCAGCTGTGCTACAGCAAACAACAGAACACTGAACCAGAGTGATTGTGTCTGAATTTTAAGGCCTAATACAGAGCCCAAGAAGTCAGATGCATACACATAGCATGATCCAATATATTTGAAGTTCAAAGACTAACAAATTAATATAGATTATTGAAAGTCTATTTAGTGGTCACCCTATGGGATCTAGGAGCTGTGGCCTGGAGGTACATGTGATGGGATTTGGAGATTTGGGTCTTCTGGATTTTGATTCTGGATCTGTTTTCACCAGCATGCTGTTTCTAGGAACATACTGAGCTCAACACACATAACATGAGCACTCTTCTGTATGTGTAAGGCATACCTTGTCAGGGAGATGAGCCTTGAGTTCAGAAAGTAAGCCAAGAGTCACAGATTTCTGATGTCAAAATCAAGGCCCTCATTGATCAAGGGGATCAGTCATAGTCATGTCAGTGAGCCCAACTACACATGAGCCCCAAGGCTGACTTCAGGCAGAGCTCTCCATTGAATGTGCATATAGGAACTTAGATCATGGTCCGTCTTTAGCCTCTTGCTCCCCCTCCCCCATGCATGCATTTCTATTCCTCATTGTCAGACTTATTTAGAGCACAGTGTTGGGGCACATGATCATACATGCTTTTTTCTAATAGACACATTGGTTGCCTGACTGAAGTATGTGGAGACTAGCCCAGAAGAACAGCGCTGGCTCAGGTCCTGTCACTAACACAAGGCTCTGTCTCAGCTAATGCTCTGCTATCACTACTTGGGATTCTTGTTAATTTTCAGACCAGGGCCTGGCATTTTTATTTTGTATTGGGTGCCACCAGTCATGAAAATAAGTGTTGCTTTGTGTAACAAAGGTCAGGTATGCAAGCCAAGTACTGTAATCAGATCTATTTCAAAGAAGCCAGGGGGTTGATATAGAGGTAAATCCTATAAAGCAAAACAAAGGATTAGTTTTGTACAAAGAATGATCCCCAAATTAATTTGTTTTGCCAGTTTTTCAGTACCACCCACTGACTTTTCAAGAGATCAGATAGAAAATGGAGCAAAGAATCCTGATACTTTAGAAATTAAGGGTTGGAAAGATATCTGAGAGATAACCCAATACATCTTCACTTTGCAGATGGAAGGAATAAGGCCTAGAGCAAGGGAGGATTTGCAAGGGAACTGAGATGCCTGTGGACCTAGGAGCCAATGAAAACTGACCAACATCATATTTTAATACCTGGAGATTTCTGGCAAGATCTCTAGAGCATTTCTTTTGTCATCTCGGAAAAAGGCATCTCGTCAAGCCAAAGCATTCAGCTTTGCTTTGTATACAGCCATTTTCTGGAAAGAAGGCAGACAGAGAGATCGATTACATTTGTATAAAATAATTACCTTAACGCAGTATCTGCCATATACAGTTTTCACTTGGAAAGAGATGCCTGTCAAAACAGTTCAGCCTCAAAGACAGTGTGTCAGCATAGGCTCAACTGGCCCAGTTCAGTGTCAGCCACATACAGCTGCAGTCCAAAGCCCTAACTTGTGTCTAGAACACAGGTTCCATCTCTGCCCCCCTCAGTTTGTGTTCAAACAGATTTAGAGGTCTGGTTGTGTTCTGCTGTAGATCAATGCTATTTCTGGAGCCAGAGAATATATGAATGAATCAAAGGTTTTTTTAACAGTCCAATGGCTTTCCTTTATTTCTTTACTTAAACACTGTTGTGATCTTCTAGGTCCTTGTGGCCACTGCCTCCCTCCAACTTTGACTTTTTGCTCTCCATGTTCCTTCCTTAGAAGTGTACAGGCCTGTTTTCAGATCCTCAAGCTGTCGAGCCTTTTTCTCTTTCCAGAACATTCCATTTAGTCTTAACTGCTGCCTAAAGAGTAGCTTTCACACTTCCTTTTGGGCACAATCTCCATCAAGGACAAAACAAAACAACAACAAACTTCACCATCCTTAACTATAACACATCTGGACATACAGAGAATAGATCTTTTATAATACCTTGGGTATTTTTATTCCTTCTGAAAATTTACTTAAATTTTCAATAGTGGTATGAACACAAAATGAAATGCAATTTGTCTGTGAAGCAAAAATGAAACTTGCAGGAAAATGGATGAACTTAGAGTGTATGACATTAACTGAGGCTACCTAGACATTCTTCTTCGTATATGACCCAGGCTATAATGTGCTTTTGTAAAGAGCTGTGTGGGCAGAGTGGGGCATTTAAAAAGGAGGTGAAAGGAAGGGCAACGCTAGGTGACAAGGAAGGTTGGAATGTAGGCTACAGCACACGTGAGTTGTGAAAGCAGGTATAAGGCTAGTTACTAGTTTCAACTGTTCTAGATTTTTCTTCATGGTGTAAGTTCATAAAAATGTAATTGATAGTATAAAATCCCAGTGAAGCTCCGTGGCTTCCGAGTGGACATGCAAAGAGAATAGAGTTCACTGAGACGCACTGATCGGGACTGGGTGTTTGCTTGGCTATCTTAAGCTGGCTGTGCGATGCTTTCACTTGGGAGGTCATTATAACAAAGTGACTAAAAATAAACTGTATTGTTTGTGTGTGTATCTGGGCATACTCAAACATGTATGTCTGTAGGTGGGCATGTGCAGCTAAGAGGACAACTTGTGGAGACTGGTTCTCTCTTTCAAACATGTAGGTCTCGGGGATCAAACTCAGGCTTGGCAGCAAGTGCCTTACCTACTGAGCTATCTTGCCACCTTCTTTCTTTCCTTTGAAAAATCCTGATCCACTAACCTACAGTCTAGAAATCCTCTATTTGCTCTTGAAAGACTTTTTCTCAAATTCCAGCAGCTCCCTAAGAGTCAGCCACAGAGACTTCCTCCAACCACATGAGCTAACCTAGACCACAGACTTGAGTTATTTCAAATCTCTGCTGGTTTTCCCTTCCCTTCAGAGAATGTATCAAAGTTACAATTCATTATTCATTAGTTGAGAGTTGTTCCTTGTCTATCTCACAACTCCCAGGTTAGCTTTCCAATGCTGGGATTTTAATCTGCTTTCTTCCCTACTGTATGTCTAGTTTCTGGTCTGATGTAGCATCAGAGTAGAATATAGCAGTCACCAAATGAGTGAGTGGATGGGCAAGTGGCCTAGATTTAAAAAATGAGCCTTCTCAGAACATACCTTTAATCCCAGCACTCAGGAGGCAGAGGCTGGCAGATTTCTGTGAGTTTGAGGCCAGCCTGGTCTACAGAGCAAGTTCCAGGACAGCTAGGGTGAAACCCTGTCTCAAAACACAAAACTAGGGACTAGAGAGATGGCTCAGTGGCTAAGAGTCCTCTTTCAGAGGTCCCAGGTTTGATTTCCAGCACCCGTATGGCAGCTTACAACTGTCTGTGACTTCAGTTCCAGAGGATCTGACACCCTCACACAGACATACATAGATGCAAAAACACCAATGCACATAAAATAAAAAAATATGTTAAAAAACAAAACTAAACAATCAAACAAACAAAAATAGCCAACCAAACAAAAACAAGTCAAGCCTTCTAAATAAAAGGAATCAGCGTCCTTTGGAGAAATACTGGATTTTAGGGATGAGGCAAGAAATATAATTAAATGCCAGAAATTACAAAAGCTGTTCACAAACAGAAATATGGGGGCACGTCACAGGACTACAGAGGCCACTTGGAAAGCTGCCAGCTGCCAACAGGAGCAGTAAGATACAGAAACCTATCAGACCACCAACTAGACAAAGCAGTAAATATCTGAGTTTATATTCATATACATAAATGATCTTCTTAACAAATGAATACAGAAGTCAAATTTTCCTTACAAATGAATTTCCAATGATTTATTCCAGATACTTCCCTCAAGGAGGTGGAGTTAATTCTGCCCATCCCACCCTATCCCCTTGAAAGGAGGAAACGCTGGCCTCCAGTTGGCTTCTAAGCAACAGAGGTAGGGGAGGCAGATAACACAAATGAATCGAAGTTTTAAAGTAGCTAGTGTGGGTCCATGGTTCTGCTAGGTAGCAGATACAGGAACATACCTGGTCTCTTTCCTGACCTCCCCTGCCCTCTCCTTCCCTCGTCTTCTGTTCTCCCCCTTTCCTCTCTTCCCCTCTCTTAGTTCTTTATGTGGTGGCCTTATGCGTGCCAGGAAAAACTCTACCACTGAAGGCCAAGCCCAGCTCCACAGCCTCTCTCAGGTGGACAGTGTACACCCTGGCCGCGGCAGCAGACTCAGTTTAAAGGAGTGAGAGCTTACAGTGTGGCTGTGTAGAATGGCGGAACTGCTGAAGCTACCTGTGGGAGTGTAGCAGGGGAAGTGGGGTGTTCTATGCAGGAAGTGTCTTACAGGTTGGGAAGAAGTTACCCGGTGAAGGATTCTGGAGATGGATGGCAAAGAACTCCCGGAAGAACAAACTTACTGTAGGCATTTGAGCATTCAGTGATTGTTCTCTAGAAGCATTCCTATAGACAATGACCTGGAAAGGGAAGGGTCAGACCACAGACAGGGTCAGGAAAGCAAAGATGAAAGTCTGGGCTATTCATGCCCTTACACCTCCCCACAAAAGGAGTCTGGAGAGTGAGGAGGTCAGTTAACCATCCATGGGTGTGGAGACAATGACAAAAGATCAAGAGGCTGTGTTTTATAGTCAAGGTGATGTGAGTTCAGTGATGGACTGAACTGACCAGGCATCGACAGCAGAATGTCAGAGGTCAAATAATGGCTAATAAGTTACCAAACATGTGAAGGTTGAAAAGCCTGAGGAACATCTAGATGGTAATTCTTGCCATGATAGGCATAAGCATTAACCATTGTCTGAATGTTTGTGACAGGTGAATTCAAGCTCATGTGTATACATAATACTTACATCACTTCCACCAAGTGCTCTGCAAGGAGCCTATGCATCATAAAGTCTCCCAGATAAATGAAAGATCTGGGAGCCCAGCCTGATGCTCTCTTCCTCCCCTCTTGTCATTACAGCCAAGTTGCATAGAAGGATGGGATTCACATTGCACTCATCCATCAGTGTCCCCACTGCTGTCTGTGATGTCCCCACTGCTGTCTGTGATGTCCCCACTGCTGTCTGTGATGTCCCCACTGCTGCCTGTGATGTCCCCACTGCTGTCTGTGATGTTCCCACTGCTGTCTCTGATGTCCCCACTGCTGTCTGTGATGTGTCCACTGCTGTCTGTGATGTGTCCACTGCAGTCTGAGGTATGTCACCACTGCAGTCTTACTTTGAAGGAGGGTTTTAAAAATCTGCCTTCCATTCCTCAGTTTGGCCTGACTCCTAAGCATGGTTTTATTTCTTCCTCCAACTGTAATCTCTCACCTTTGTCTTTGGCATCTCCCTTGCTAGCTGGGAAGTATCTTTAGGATAGCATTTGAGGAGGTTGCTAGGAGATGGAGGCTAATCCCACATTGACAGGGGCACTGGAAGCCTGCTGAGCACCATAGCACAAGGAGCTATAAGGATGCCTCCATTGGCTCACAGGATGAGCAGGATCTTGGATGGAGGTACAGGAGGGGTTAAACACAAGAAAACACTGCGCCAGAATTTCCTTCCCATCCCAGAGAGAAACACAAGCATTAGCATCTAATTCAAGTATGGGTTCAGCATCTACAAGGAGGGCTTCTAAGCAAAGACATCATCTTTGAGTGATTCACCTGCATCTTTTGAATCACATTCCATCATAAATTCTGAGAAATAAGGCTATCATATTTCATTGTGTACTTGATATGATTAGAACCAACACTTACTTTTCTACCAATCTTATACAAATCAGAAGTCTCCAATACCACCCACAGTACAACGCAATAGTGTATGAAGAATTGACACAGTTACAAAACAGAAACAGTACTACTCTCTACCTTCTGAACGTTTGACGCTTGTCTTTGATGACACTGAAAGCTCTCTGTCACCAGGCTGAGAATGCACTGCTTAACCAAGCAGAGGAACAGGGTCCTAGTCACATCTGTGACTTGGTGGTAATGACCACGATTGTATGGAATGTTGAGAACCTGATCAGGTATGCATAGTAACAATGAGAATTAGACACTGTCTCTTACTGACCGTCACTGTGTGCTGACCATGACCATAGGCATGAAGCCTGGTCAGGATCACAAAGCCAGACCAGAACCCAGGTCTCAGGGCTGCTATTCAGAGCTGCTCTCCCTGTACTGTCTCACACTGTGTTTGTAGTTAAGTGCAGAGCTGCAAGTATACATGAGGTGGAAAACTTTCTGATTCCACCACCCCCCACAAAAATGAATCTTGGCCAGGTTTTTAGGTAGGCAATAAGAGTGGGGACTTTGTCTTGCTTTCTGCAAATAAGAGGCCACCCTGCCCAGGTCAAGGGTGTGCTATGTGATGGGGTTGTCTGAAAGGTTTTAGACAACAAATGACAAAGAACCTAACACAGTGCCTGGCATACAGTGCTGATTAATAGCAGACAGATGGGCTCCAGAAAGCCTCACACTACACATCCAAAGCAGTCCTGCCAAGAATCGTTAGATACAACACTTAGCACCATTCATTATATGGCAGAGAGTTTGTCTTCCCTGAGAATCCTGAGGGTTATCCTGTTTGGAAGGGTGTATTTGGGGCTGGTTCTGAAGTCCCAAAGTGTTCAACAGGTAGGTCCTAAGGAATGTGGCTCGGGGCTAAGGTTCTGCTTTTATCCTGTGATGTTCTACACGGGGCTTGGGAACAGAAAGTGTACTGCCAAGGTGCCATTTTCAGTTGCAGATCACATGGCAGAAGGTTTCATCCGATTGGCATTGTACAGTGTCTGACTCTGCCTGCCTGCCTCTCTGCTTCCTGCTTAGGCAATAGAGGCCTGGGGCACAACAGGGACCTGAAACTCACAGAGGACCTCCCAGCTTCAACTCCTATCTACTCTGCTATTACAGTCTCCTTTGTTTCTGTTTCTTTGTCCTGTGAGTTTTCCTTCCCTGTTGGCAAATGCTAAAGAGCAACACATTAGGTTTCAGGGCTCTGGGTATCTATTGACTGATCCACCTGTTTGAAAAATAGACAATCAGTTCTAGAGGGGTTTGAAGTCAGGTTCCCTATGTCACAGGCAAGGACAGAAAAAACTCACATGTTTCATGAGACAGCCAGAGATCTGAACTCAGAATCATACAATTTATTGGTGTAAATCCCATTTTTATCTGTTAGCCAGTTCATTCAGTTTCTGCTTAAGTAGACCTGCAGAACTCCCACCTATGCTCAGGGACTCAGTGAAGCTTCTCCACTCCAGGGAAGCAGAAATTCTGATTTCATTTTCAACTATGCTGGCCATATTTGTTCTTTGCTGCCCAATGCATATTTACTGCATTACATATAACTGCATATAGGTTTGATAGTATATAGAATAACAAATGTTTTAGTTAGCTACAGTGCCTCATACCTGTAATCCCAGCAACTTGAAGTTTTGAAGATCAATGCAAACCTGAGGCCAACCTGGGCTACATAGTAACAACGTACCCTTCCAACACAATATGTATATTTTTATATTGAGTACATATCTTTCTAGCCTTTTTGTTATTTGAAGCAAAAGTTACTTTATATAACTGCTAAATCTGCCTTCTTGTCTCAAAGTCTAGATGACTTCTGCCGTGTCTATAAGTTGGCTCACATTGTAATAATACCACAAAGTTCTCAAGGTCAAGAGGGTATGGATGAAAGGAAAAGTAAGAAAGAAATCCGTGGGTCTTCTCCTTGTGATGTAGGAAGGTCCTTAGCTGCCTTGGCCAGGGGCACAGCTTTGCTCTCCAACCCCAAACTGCAGAAGCAGAGAGCCCCTTTCTGTGTAGTCAGGAATCTGGGTTCTCACCCCAGTGACCATATGGGTTTAGGGATATTCATCACCCAGAGAAGATGCTGATCTGGAAAAAGAAACTTCACAAGACAGCTCAAAATACTTTCTAAAACTTATGGAAAACTGGCAGTGACTTTCTACGTGCCAAGTGCTGACAAGCAGTTTTGTTTAAAGACATTCTGGGTGGAAGAGGAGCAGGCTGTTTCAAGGAGAATTCCAGTGTATGGTTGGCTATTTCAGTGGGCACCTTGCAGGAAGGTGACCCTCAGTGGGACAAACTAACTCAGAGATCACTTTAGGGAAGGTGAACCAGGGCCCTCTGGATTCTACCCAAGACCCTGGATTCTATTTCCTGGGAAGAATTGATTCCTCCGTGCCTTGCTTTCCACATCTGTAAAATGAAGATGACAGCTGCAGCTAGGTATAGAGGGTGTGGGGTTTGAAGAGGCTTGATGTAGGAAGAGATTAGGAAGAGGGCCTGAAGCATTAGTAAGTATGATGTAAATTTAGCTGTTGTTATTGTCATGCACATTAGGATGCTGGGTCTGTTCAGCTTGTAAGGCAAACAGCGAGTCAAGTGCCCCATATCCCAATAGGAGTTAAGACACTAGCCAGGGCTTCTGTGTAGAACTCCCGTGTTGCAAAGGAAACAGCGAGAACAGGGTTCTGTTAGACTTAGGGAGGCTGAAACTGAAATGACGGACAGCAAGGATTCCAGAAAGAACTATTGCAGGACTGTAGTGCTTCTGTTTTCTTGGGAAGGGAGATCCATCTGTGTCAAAGCAAACCACATAGGAGTAATGGTCCATCAATGCACTCAGTGAGCTTAGCCTATGCCCTGAGGAAAGACACTTCACATCCAGATTTGGGAGAACATATGGGAGAGAGCTGTAGCCAAAGGTACAAGAGCAGAGAAACAGAAGGAAACACAGGGAAGGAAGTCACTATGTAGAGCTGGAGGGAGGAGATGTAGAACTCTCAGAAGGAACGCTTCCCACCAGAATGACAGTATCCTTCCTAGGATGAGAAGACCTGGGCAGAAAGGGACTGGGTACCTCTGCACATAGGCGCTGAGAGTGGGTGGGGTAGTGGTTATGGAAAAGAGCATCATCACATTAAGGGATTGCTGTTGAACACACTCTTATACCCTTAACTCCTGGTGTGTATGTGTGTATGTGTGAGTGTGTGTGCATGTGGGTGTGTGTACATGCACGTGTATATGTGTATATGTGTTTGTGTGCTCACTTGCACCTGTGTATGTGTGCACATGCTCGTGTAAGCATGCACGTCTACATGTCTGTGGTGGTTAGTTTTGACAACGTGACACAATATGGAATCACTTGGGAAGGAGTCTTGATGATGAATTGTCTAGATTAGGAAGGCCTGTGGCCATGCCTATGAGGAGTTTTCTTATTGGGTTAACTGAGAGCAACACCATGTAATGGGCTGGGCTCTGGGATGAATGAGGAGGGAAAAGGGAGTTGAGCACACCCGTTCATGCATGAATTCATAGCTCCCTGTTTTGATGGTGGGTGGATTCTGACTAGTTCCTGTTCCCCTGCCTTCTCCACAATGATGGCCCTAACCTGGAACTGTGTGCCAAATTAATCTTTTCTCTATTCAATAACTTTTGGGGGACATTTTATCACAGCAACAGAAGTAAAAACAAAGACAGTGCCTCTAGGGAGTTTAAAGGGCACAGGGAGGAAGAGTCAGCATTTAGAATCCTTCCCACTCAGGGACAGCAGGTGGACAATTGAACTCATGAAGGAGCAGCTCTGATATTCTTTATCTAACTCCATTCCCACTCCATGGTGAACCTGGGGCAGGACTGTGGGAGGCAGAAATGGCGAGGAGAAATGATGAAAGCGACCGTCCCTCCACGCTCTTCCACACTGCAGGGCCTTGAGCGTGCCTTGCACCTAGTGGAGAAGTTTTAAAATCTGAAATCACCAGAGTAGGTGTATGAAGGGGATATGGAAGAACCCACTCTTCATTCCTTGTACCTTCCTAAACCCAGTGGTCTTGTCAGTTGTACAAACAGAGACCAAGTCAGGAATCCAGGTATCCACATGTACTAAATGTACCTTGAGGGAAAATCCACAGGGAAGAGAGTGAGTCAGGACAGGCAGGGGTAAGAATTCCAGCAGAGATGTGGTCTCTGGTGAGGAGCAACGTTGTTCTCACTCACAAGGAGCTGTGAACACAGCACTGCACAGACGTCACACTTAGAGGGGTGAGGGTTGTGTTTCATCTGCCCACAGGGTGGAGCAGGGGTGGAGAGTAACTTTTGGGGGAATCTAATCATGTCAGCCAAAGGCAATGCTTTAGAGAAGAGGGCAAGCTTTGCCCTGTCAATCAATAGCCAACACCCAAAGGGTTTGGGACATCAGAACACAATTCCAGTAAGAGGAACCCAAATGGATAACCAACAGGGACCACTATAATTATTTTTCCCAAAGTGTACCCTATACAATCTTTTCAGTGATGTTATAGTCTCTTGAAAATGCTTTCTTTCACTTTGTAGGGCAAAAGTTAAACTATAATAACTTTGAGGTACAGTAGCTATTATATGTACTATGTGCATTCATTTTCAGTTTATGGCTCTGGATTCTTAGTCTTGGGAAATGTTCTATGAAATACATATTAAGACAGAACACATTATAAAAGTCACCACAATGGGCTTTCACCCATCCTTTTCAGCTTCAGTATTTATATTATAGCTAATTACAATGCAACATAACACACAGTTAAGTGTCCCTCTTCTCAAGAATTGGGAACTAGAGTCTTGTGCATACCTCATACCTAATATTTATGGTATCCTAGGCAAAGACACAAATGTTGATCTATGAAACCACATACTTAACTATTCAAAAGCTATCATTCAAGATAGCAAGCGTCTAAGGTAAATGTGAGGTGTCCTATCACACTAACACACAGACCAGCTCTGCCTGAGTGGTGTTCTGGATCTTCTTGGGAAGATCCAGCTCATTAATATAAAACAAGAAGCCGGGACAAATGAGGGTTTGGAGATCAGGGCGTTTTCTGCTGTAACAAGTGCCCCTGCTTTGCTGTAAGAGGTAAACTAGATGACAAAAACCGTGGGCTTGCTTGACTGCTTAAACACGTCAACACACACACAAATCTTGGCATACAGTAGTCACCGTGCAAAGTGATTTATTTAAGGCAATGATGCTGTTACTTTTCAAAAGTGCTCTTTCAGAATTAGCTGCAATGCTGGATTAGGAGCCGTCTATGAAACCAGACTCATCATTCAAGCTGATACTTAGTGTGTGACTCCTGACAGCGTTTCCCAGCTTGATAACCCAAACTGCTCAGCAGCCTGAGCTCCAGATGCCTGAGAATTCTTTTCAGAACCCACATCCCCCTTCTGAGGATACATGCTGTCAGAGTTATCTCTTTAAAACACATCTCAGGTCATATGCTTCAGTAGCTTCCAGCTGCATAGAGGATTAAGTCCCAACTCCTCCTCCTGGTTTTCGAAACTTTTAGATTACCCCCTCCCCACTTGGATTCCTAATCCCATCACCCACTAGGTCTGCTCCATGAACACACAACGTCTTATATATAAGTTCCCACCCCAAGCCCTTAATGCATGCCAAGAGTATCACATTTTATCTTTATAAGATTTTATACAAGAATTAAAATAATAAAAACAGGGCACCGGCAAGATGGCTAAATGGGCAAAAGTGAATGCTGTGTAAACTGATGAGTGTCTTGGTGGAAGGAGATAACTAACTTCAAAGAGTTGTCCTCTGACTGCCACATGGATGCCATGATACATCCATACCCATGCATACATATCATACACACATACAATAATAAATAAAACACATTGAAGCAAATATCAATATAAATGTTGCTTATATTTTATATGATACTTGAAATATAATAAACCATTGCTCAAATAGAATATATGTGACATATGTCTAGTTTTGGATTTTAAATAACCACATTAAAAAAGAAAAGCAGATGGAATTGATTTTAATAACTTATTTTGCCAGTGAGTATATAACCAATCTAAAATTATTAATAGGATATTTCATTCTTGTTTCTAATATCAAGTCATTCCAAGTCATACGTATTGTATACCTATAGCATGTCTCAGGGACGTTAATTTTCACTGAAAATCTGTGATCAGCACTTTAGCTTTCATAAAATGTACCGTAAGAATAGTAGATAATTTACCCAAGCTGTTATTTCAAACATACTTAGAATTTCATTGAATTGATACGAAAATAATTTCCTTTTCATAGGTGGGCATTTTCTCCAGAAGAAGACACAGGTTATTAAATGAAGATTTTGGTGCCAGGTATGGGAACTCTCTTTCTGAGTTACTGGTCAAGAAGGACCACAGTCACTCCCGAAACAACAAAGGCTATTTCTATTGTTTATTACTTCACCCTATAGCTATATGGTAAGACAGCAGTTAGTGAGGACATACACACTTTGGTTGTAGGGCAACGAGAAATGGAGCTGGAACTGACACAAAGACTTCTCTGCTGCCTAGCTTCCACAGCACCAGAAGGTGCAAACGCAGGCTGCTGGGGAAGTAAAGTCGTTGATGGCATTGCTAAGTGGTGAACTATGAACGCTGCACTACCAACCTGACAGGTAAGTTGTACCCAGTGGTGAAATAGTGGCATGGAGGTTGTGGGAGTAACCAAACGCCTCATGCTTGATGCTGTAAACCTGACACTTTCTGATGGAATCCAAGTCCTATTCCAAAGGAGGGAATTCATGCTTGATACTACTGTTGTTATACTAAATGGACACATTATCAAACTATCTTCTAAATATTAATGTCTATACCCATGAATTATTATGGCTTTTAACCTTGACCAGAGAAGCTTCTGAAGTGGGCAGCAGTTAATACCGAAACCCATAACTGGTTAAAGTGCTAAGAATAAATAAATGCAGGGTTCTCTGACAAAATGGGAACATTGATATCAACACACACACACACACACACACACACACACACACACACACTTACACCCCAAGGATCAAGGAACATCATGGAATAGGGGCCAGAAAGAATGTAAGAGTCAAAGTACTGTGAAATGCTATCTGTTAGATAGGACATGGTCATAGCACTCATGAACTCAACAACTGTAGTTCCCTGGACAAGGTCACTCCAATAAGATTAACCAGTATCCCAGCAGTCAGCACTAGTTGGACTCAATGGGTTACAAAAATCAAAGAGAAAGAAAAAGGAAGGGAGGAAGGGAGGGAGGGAGGAAGAGAGATGAAGAAAGAGAAAGAAAAGCAAAGGACATGAAGTGGACAGGGGTAGTTTGGAAAGTGTTTGCGGGAGTGGGAAGGAGGATTTGAAGATGGATGTGATCAATGCATGAAATTGTCAGAGAATAAATTAAAACTTCCTAAAATTTTATTTGCTAGTCTCACTTGCATTGCCAATTTAAATTATAATTCTCTGTTTCAATCAATTAAACTTAAATGCAGTTTTAGTTTCTCAGTCACCCACCACATGTGTGGCTGCCATGGGCAATAATGTTGCTCTTAGCAGTAGACTACTTTGGGGGAACTAGAAGCACAGAGCGGTAACAACTTGTCCCAATTCACACAACTCAGCAGCTAAAGCTCAGAGTAGCTGATTTGCACAAGTGACTTTGCCAATAATGATTGGAACTAGAATTTTCTGAACTCAGAGCTGTTTTATTTCCTAGCCTGTGCTTTAGCCGATGTGCTGTTTGCCACACAAAATCACTCACCATTTTCCTGACACCCTTCCTTGATTCTGACCCCATTTTTTTTACGAGACAGGGTTTCTCTGTATTGTTTTGGAGGCTGTGGGTCCAGCCCGGCCTCGAACTCACAGAGATCCGCCTGGCTCTGCCTCCCGAGTGCTGGGATTAAAGGCGTGCGCCACCACCGCCCGGCCCGATCTTTTTAAAATAAGCTTTTTACTTCTATCTGGAATGCCTTGTGAGGTACTGGCTAAGTGCCATTCATTCATTCAGCCACCTTTTAAACAAGTACTGCTGGCCATGTCTCAAATACTTTCCACAGAGGAGAGATATTCAGTGGTCCAAGTGGACACAGGTCTTACCTCACCAAAACTTAGAGTCTAGAGTGGGTAGAGTGGGACTCCTCAGTATTATTTCAGTCCTACGTCCCTGAGACACTGCCACAGAGAACCTTTGCTTATATGAGTCATAACTGTCTATATTCACACATTACAAATGAAAACTTGGGAAATGGTGAGATGGCTCAGGAAGTAGAGGAACCTGCAGCCAAGCCAAAAGACCCGAGTTTGATCCTCAGGACCCGCATGATGCAAGGAGAGATCCGACCCCTGCAAGTCATCCTCTGTTCACAACAACTAAATGTAAACAAATTAAAACTGGAAATTAGATTGTTAATCCACTTTCCTTAAAATAGTGTAATGAATGCATTATAGGTAGATACAAAGAATGCATTCTTAAGAGGAAAAAAAATTCCTACCTATTTCCAAACAGGAAATTATTAGGAAGAATGACATTGTTCCATACTTTTTTTTACTTTTTAAAAAATTCAAATAAGAAAAAAATATTATTTTATATATGAATCCCAGTTCCCTCTCCCTCCCATCCTCCCATGTGCTCCCATTGCTCCGTATTTGCTGACCTCTGTAAGGCATAAATTAATAAAAAAAAAAAAACAAGGTTGGGGGATCTTGTAAGAGAGTGTGTATGTGTTTGCTATTGTTTTGGTTGAAGTAGGTGAAGGTCATCTGTCCTCTCCCAGATGTGTAATTGGAAAAGAGAGAAGTCTCTAGAAAGCCAATTCAGACAACTGTGCAAATTCTTTCTGGTATATTATTGAAGCCCAGTAGGTGATCACGCCATTAAGATTAGCAACAACCCTTAGCAGCACATTTTCCCTATTTTAAAATTACATTAACATTCATTATGTAATCTTGTACTTTCAATGCATTTTACATATGATTTTTGTCATAATACCCATTGTTCATTTAGAAAATATTGATTCATTGAGCTGTTAGGTGTTTCCAATGTTGACACATTTCATTATACCATATTTAAAGTTATATTCATTAATATTAACACTGACTAAATTAGAAAACCCATCAAATACCAGGAAGCTGTGAAGACAGTTGTGACAGACACATTTTTTTTTTTTAGTTTTTCTCTTTCTTTCTTTAATTTTTTAAATTTTTGAAACACTTTTTTATTATATATTTAAATTAGAAACAAGCTTGCTTCCCATGTCAGTCCCAGCTCCCTCTCCCTCCTTCATGACCGCTCCCCCCACCAATCCCCCAGCCCCCACAGCCCCTACTCCATTCCCCAGGGAGGGTAAGGCCCTCCATGGGGGATCTCTAGAATCTGTCATTTCGTTCTGGGGAGGGCCCAGGCCCTCCCCCAAGTGTCCATATTGAGAGATGGGCACCCAAAGTCTATTTGTGGACAGACACAATTTTTATAGAACCCTAATTTTTATTTGGTGCATGAATTTTACCAGTGGTGACATACTGCACATTGGCTTCTTGCCTTTCTTCCTTCCTTCCTTCCTTCCTTCCTTCCTTCCTTCCTTCCTTCCTTCCTTCCTTCCTTCCTTTCTCCCTCCCTCCCTCCTCCCTGCCTCCCTCTCTCTCTCTCTCTTTCTTTATGCATGTGCATGAGTATGTGCATGCTTATGTGTGTGTGGTATATGCATGTGTACATGTAGGCATGTGCATGAGTGTATACATGTAGGTATGTGCATGTGTGTGCATGTGTATGTGTACATGTGTGTGGTGTATGTATGTGTACATGTAGACATGTGTGTACATGTGTATGTGTGCATGTGTATGTGGTGTATGCATGTGTACATGCAGGCAAGTGTGTGTATGTGTGTGTGTGTATGTGTGTGTGTGTGGTGTAGGCATGTGTACATGTAGGCATGTTCATGTAGAAGTCAGAAGATGGTATCACATGTTCCTCCTCTATTGCTTTCCACCTTAGTTATTAAGACAGGTTCTGTCATTGAGCCCAGAACTCAGTGGATAGCCAGTGAGTTCCAGGGATCATCCTACCTCTGCCTCCAGCTCTAGGATTGCAGGAGTGTGCCATCACACCTGCCTTTTTATGTGTGTTCTGCGAAACTGAGTTCAGGTCTCATACCAACTGAGCATCTCTCCAGAGTTGTTTGTCTTGATATGACAGACTCACTTTATTTTTGAGAAAATATTTGCCAAATAAATAACTGTAATTGAACTGTCTATTCAACTGAATGTGGATATTCAACTAACAGTGATACTCCATGAGAAGAGCCCCTGGTCCAGCTCAAAATCTAGACACAGTGTTTTTCCTTGAGATCACCACAGACCTCACCATTCACTTCAGCTGCAAACGTGCCCAATGCATGTTCTCCATTTGTCATTCAAAATATGAAACAGATATGTACAGTAAAAGAAATGGCATGTGAGTATTATCATGAAAATAGTTTTGAATTCATGAGCACCATGAAATGGTCTTCAGATCCAAAAGATCTGAGGATTGCACTTTGAAGACCAATGGAACAAAGGAAAGGCAGTTAAACAGTATGTGGGTAGGCTGGCCACACATCAAGGAAGGGCCCCTGGGTAAAGTGATGTTTAAGGCTACATATGAAATGTATACATGGGTGACCCAAGTGGGAAGAGGGCAGAGGAGCAGAAAGGAGTTCCAGGCAGACAGCAGTGCTGAAGATGAAAGAGAGGCAGCTTGAGGATCTATAGGCTACTTTGTCTAAACCTTGAAACGCAGGGGAATAGAAAGTGAAAAAGTGGGGGAGGGGCTTGACAGCTGGACAGTGTCAGGCTTGCAAACAACCTTGCAAATGCAGAGACCATCTCATCCTCTTAGTATATTCCTGAAGACATGTAAACTGAAGCTAATTGTGAGGAGACAGCCAGACAAATTCATTGGAGAGGGGGATTCTGCAAAGCCACTCATCTGGAATCTTCAAAAATGTCAATGTATTGAAAAGGCAAAAAAAGAGTAGAGAAAATGAGAATGAAGAGACAGGACAATTCAAAGCATTACACCATCCTTGGTTGGATACTGCACCACAAAAGAAAACACAACAGTGTCTTGGTCCTCTCTGTCTATCGTAACAAAACACCTTAGACTAGGTGTGTGGCAAAGGGCAAGACAGCTCCCTTCAGAAGAGCCTGATCCCATTCAGGAGGGCTCTGTTGGTCACCCCCAAAGACCCTACCTCTTTTTTTTTTTTTTTTGGTTTTACGAGAGAGGGTTTCTCTGTTTTGGAGGCTGTCGGTCCAGCCTGGCCTCGAACTCACAGAGATCTGCCTGCCTCTGCCTCCCGAGTGCTGGGATTAAAGGCGTGCGCCACCAATGCCTGGCTAAGACCCTACCTCTTAACACCATTATGGATGATTGTGCTGATACAAGATTGTGGAAGAGACATTCAGACTGAAACATCTACCACCACTGCACTCCGCAGATTTTTCTTGGCTTCACACAGTTGGAAACCGCTAGGAAGAGGGAATGCCAATTGAGAAAATGCCTCCATCAGACTGGCCTGTGGGCTACTCTGTAGGACATTTTCTTGATTAATTATTGATGTGGTGGGTCCCAGCCAATTGGAGGTGGTGCCACTCCTGGGCT